ATCAGAGTGGAGGAAGTACAGCCAGCAGTAAGTAAAATGTTTTATGGATTTATTGAATATTAGAACTCAGAACAGTTGATTATGTCCTTTGTGAATCCTGAACCCAGTTCAAAGGTGGCGGGGATATCCGTGTTAGAGTGAATTGATTAGAATTAAATTCAGTTACGGGAACATGGCACTAAATTACATCAGTTACATCAGCTGCAGCTACTCTTTTTTTCTCTCAAAGAACATGAAACTTGCCATCAGAAGAATGCAAAATATATTGAACTTGAGGTAGTTAGGATTTTAAGTGCTGCCATCACTTTTGAAAAGTTAGATGTAATTTTTTAATTTTGTTTTTTAATTTTTCTTTTAAAATTTGTTGCAGGATGTGTACACTCTTTGGAGAGAAACAGCGGGGTGGGAGGGAAGCAGCGCCCCCAAGGGGAATGGCCATGCCACAATTGCCACTCCATTCTCCCAGCTGCCTTAACAGTCTGCAACTGGCTGGCCTTGTTTTTGTTTGTTTGTTTGTTTTTTAAATTTAAGAGTTTGGAGACTTGTTAATTAAGGGTTAGTATTCAGTAGGAGACTGAGACCTCGGCATATTTGGTAATATACTTCTGCTTCTGCTCAGGTCTCGTCCCTTTTAATTGAAAGAAACAATGGCTCTAAGCTGTGATGTATCCTCATTTTTAGGCCAGAAAAGACTCATTGGGAACAAAGTGACTTGTTATTTGCTTTAAATTTCACCCTAATAATCTGTTAGGAATTGATCATCCTAATAGAGAGCTTTTTTAAAACAAAGTTTAGTCCAATCCAGAAGTGAAAACGAACGCTAGACTGCAGATTTACTACTAAGATAGTCGACTTTCCGTTACTTGGGTGTACATTATTTGGTTTTTTTTTTTTGCTTTATAGACGTAGCCTAGTCTGTATTCCTGCCTGTGTACAGAACAGTTGGCTTTCCATAAATCCAGCAAGCTCCAAATTGAAACTTCTAATGCTTGAAATCAGCGCCCCTTGGCAGCTTTTCTGTGTATAGTTGTGTGTTTTGGAATTTACCAAGATCAAAACAAAAAGGCCTCTTGGTGGTTAATTGTTAATTATTATGTAGTAGTCTTCTAGATTAAATGATACTTGTAAGTCTTCCTATTTATATGACAGTGCCCTTAAATCATAGCAGGATTTTTACAAAACTGTGTTACATAACCACTCGTAGTTAGTTAAATGTATTTGATTTGTAGATTTCAACTAGTAGGTTCCAAATCAAGTTTTTGATTACCATACTCCTTTTAAAAGTTCCCTTTATGGAACAGTAACCAATTTAAAATAAAATAAAAGTATATTCATTATTTTCCCTCTCAACTTTACAAGTAAGTAGTCAGACTGGAAAGTTAGTATTAAGAAAAGAAGTTATCCAGAATCGTTTTTAATAGCAGACATTTTTCATTAGGGAAGAAAAAAAGACCTTTAACAGGAAGGTTTTTGACATTTAATTAATTTTATATTTATTTCTTTTAGAAGGGCGCTATATCCCTCCTCATTTAAGGAACAGGGAAGCAGCTAAAGGTAAGTCTTTACAGCAGTTTCATAGATTTAACTCTTGATACCTTTAAAGGTTAGTCAAAGTCTAGGGGAAATGAAGCAATTTAGATTTGGGACTGGTTCAAATATTGGAACATAGTGACTTTGGAAAAACTCACCTTAATGCTACACTGGAAAATTGTTTTTTATTTGTCAGGCTCATCTGGGGCCAGGGACACATGGTTTTATACAGTTTTATTCTTGTGTACAATCTGTTTATAGTCATTCGTGGTGTGGTTTCCATTAGAAAAAGGCGGGTGCCCTACTATGTAAATTAAACTGCATGGTGATAACCCCATTGTTTCTGTCTTGCAAACATGCCAAAAAGAAGATGGGCTTATTGAGGAATAGATAGCAAGTTATAGTATTAGGCACATTTCCACTAGATTGGGAATTATAACTAGTAGGTGTTTCATGTTCTGGGATAACTGGGTGCTGTGTATTCTATAAAACAAGTGATCTAAAATTTGGGAAAATAGAGGTCAGGGAAACTATTTAATGGTCAAGAGGAGAGGGAGGTACTGCGTAAAGAAGACAGAATTGAAAACGTAGATGGTCCCCAGGGAGTGCATGATTTGCTGCTGCTCCTTCATCTCTATGAGTAGTCTATGTCAGCTTCCCTGTCCCCGGAAATGCAGAGATAAAAAATCCTCAAGGTTACGTAACGTACTCTTCAGGTGAAAGTACTACAGTTTGTCCTTATCGTCAATGGGTGTTTTCAGTATTCCTTGGAATTTACTAGGTGGAATTGACCCATATGTATATTTAGTTTTTCCCTTTTTGTTGCAATGACAGGAATCAGAAAGGCAATACAGAGATTTTCGAAGTAGAAGAGATCTGGGTCAGCAGGTGACATAGTGGCTAAGGTGCTGGATTCCCACATGGTTGACTGTGGTTGAGTCACATACCTGTCGGCCTGAAACTTAACAGTGGGCGCACCTGTATGTGTGCCCAGGATCTCAGAAGGAGAATGGAGAAAGGATTAGGGGTGACCATCTCCCCTGTGGGGGGTGATTCCTCACTTTTTGTCTCTCTGGCCAGCACATGCACCCTGTAGCAAGAGTCACACACACACACACACACACACACACACACAAAGTGGAAAAGATCTAGAAATGTAATTCTTCATTGGGAGCAAATGCTGTTAGTTACCTGGCTGGCTCATGGTTAGGGTAGAAGGCAGAAGGAAAGTACTTGACTTGTAAACTCTCTCTGACTAATAAGATGTCATTGAAGCTAGTAAAACCCTCTATTTGTCTTAATACCCTCTACCTGTCCTAGGGCTAATTTGCACCTTTGTCATTCCCTTTTACCTGAACATAATAGCTTTTCCACACTGAGGATGTATAGGAACAAGGGTTTTCCTTTTTCTAGGTATTCCTGATTTTCACCAAACTTAAAGTAGATGAACCACTAAAATAGTATCGTTCGATAGTAGTGTTTCACGTATGCAAAGCATTCTTGTAAACCAGCCTTCTGTCTCGATTCTTTTCTAATGCCATTGGTAGGAATACCTCCATTGGCTTCTTGAAGGGCTTAAAATTCAGAAAAGTTGACAGTACCTTAGCATGATTCCTGATTTATAATTAAATCAATAAAATGGGTTTAATGCTTCTTTCTTGTAATTAAAGGATTCTATGATAAAGACAGTTCCGGCTGGAGCTCCAATAAAGATAAGGATGCTTACAGCAGTTTTGGATCTCGTAGTGATTCAAGAGGGAAGTCTAGTTTCTTCAGTGATCGAGGAAGTGGGTCAAGAGGAAGGTAAGCGATCTTATCTCACTTCACGTGTATATGTACAGCAGCAGTTTAGGAATTGGTTTTTAAATTTGGTAAGTTTTCATCCTGACCATCTACTGGGGTGTTAGGCATTATGTCTGTCTGATCATTTGTGTTTTCTTAGTTATAAGAGGTCTTTGCTAAATTGGAACTGTTATGTAGAAATGAGATGAGAATAATTAGTATGCTCTTTGGCATAATGAAATCAGTTATTTTTCTGTTTTTCTAGTTTTATATATTCTGTTTAAAAGAGTAAACTTGATTTAGTGAATGGCCTAATTTGGTTGAGATTTTTGTGGACTCTGTTTGACAATTTTTAAACACCTTGTATTTTTGATACACAAGTGTGGTGAACTGACCCCATGTGCCTAATAGCCGTGGTTAGTCCTGTGTCCTGATTTTTCGCAAACAGGCCTAAAACTAAAAACATCTTAATTCAGGTAAGGATTATTTTCTATTTTTTACCCAAAATCTGTCACATAGCTGAATCGTCCTTTAAATGACATCCTAGGGGCTGGCAGGTGGCATGGTGGTTAAGGGCGCTGGACTCCCACATGGCCGACCGTGGTTTGAGTCCTAGACCTGGCAGCTTGCTTTCTCTCTCTCTTGCTCTTGCTCTGTCCTTCTCTGATCTAATTTAAATAAGTAAGTAAAGTTAAATAAATTCTTTTTTTAAAATGACATCCTAGTATAGCTAGGACAATTGACACTTGGTATGCTATTTCCTTCTGTTCCCTATACTAAATGTATTTGGACAAGCACTTTAAATGAAAGTATGAATCATGGGCTGATTTCAAATATGTAAAACTTGATTCTTAACTTTGGCCTGTGTGAGGCATGTTTAGGTTGTATGACTTAAATAGAAATACAAAGAAGGGTACTGATTTTAGAAAATGAAGTTATGTAAATGATACATATCTGGTAATAAGAGAGCCTTATTCATCAAATTAGAATAAGCCAGAATTTGACTGTTGATAACCTTGTAGTTATAATGAATAATTTGGCTTATAGATGGCAGTTCTAGAGTAGTGATAGGAATCTGGTAGTGATTTGATAATATGACTCTGATTGTTTGTGCTGTTCAGGTTTGATGATCGTGGACGAAGTGACTATGATGGCATTGGCAGTCGTGGCGACAGGAGTGGCTTTGGCAAATTTGATCGTGGAAATAGTCGCTGGTGTGACAAATCAGATGAAGATGATTGGTCGAAACCACTCCCACCAAGTGAACGCTTGGAGCAGTAAGTTTGTGAAGTGTATGTTAATCATGATGGATCCTTATTAGTTAGAATCTAACAAATTTTATCTTTTAGGGAGCTCTTCTCTGGAGGCAACACTGGGATTAACTTTGAGAAATATGACGACATTCCGGTTGAGGCAACAGGCAACAACTGTCCTCCACACATTGAAAGCGTAAGTTTTTTCCTTTTTCCTCCATGCAACCTGCTTCAGTGCCAGCAGTCCACAGTTAAAAGACAGGGCAATGGTTCAGGGCCAGTTTGCTCTGGCATGGGGCACTATGAGAGACCCAGGGGGGTGAGCCTGCCATAAATCTAAACTCACTTATGAAAGCATAAGTATTTTTGTTTGACCTTTTAAAACAAAGGGAGACATGTAAATGTCTTCATAGCACATCAGAATGGGATGGGTTCCTAAAGGCATTATGTAGACCAAACACCTCACTGGTTTGTGCAAAGAGATTTTAAGTAGGGTCACCATTATTCACACTCTGAGAAAATGTGAAAAGGTCCCAAATCTTCCCCTATTAAACCTGAGTGTTGAGTTTTCTCAAAATATAACATACTTTTTCTTAAAATGAAAGCAGTTTATAAGTTTTAAGTTAGAAATCAGTTAGTTGTTTGTATTGTGGTATATAGTACAAAACAGACACGGCTCCTGATGGCATTTCTAGCTGTTTAACTCCACCGGATTTCTTGACAGTTTAGTGATGTTGAGATGGGAGAAATCATCATGGGAAACATTGAGCTTACCCGTTATACTCGCCCAACTCCAGTGCAAAAGCATGCTATTCCTATTATCAAAGAGAAAAGAGACTTGATGGCTTGCGCCCAGACAGGTAAGTTCATTGGGTAAGAGTGGAAACATTGCCATGCTTTTTCTTAAAGAACTTTTTTTTTGGGGGGGGGCATGTAGTTAGTGTCTTAAAACTACTCAGCTCTGCCATTTGTAGTATAGAAGATGCCATATATAATATGTAAATTACTGGGGATGATTATATTCTGTAAAAGCTTTATTTATAAAACTAAGTGTCTAACTAGGCCTTGGTTTGCTGCTTTCTGTTATTAGAAGTACTAATGAACTAGTAATAGGGCAGTTAAAAAACATTGTCAGCTACCAATGTATTCAGAAGTAATAAGCAGGATTTTGTGTGTGTGGTTGAATGAATGTTTTCTTTTAACAGGATCTGGGAAAACTGCAGCATTTCTCTTGCCCATCTTGAGCCAGATTTACTCAGATGGTCCCGGCGAGGCTTTAAGGGCCATGAAGGTAAATCATTTCCTTATAAGATGGAAAATTATTGTAGAACTTTGTATGTGGCTATTGAAAGAGCTTTCTAAGTGATACTGAGACTTTTTCAAGTGTAATCTGTAAATTACAAAAGGGAATTTATGTTGTGATGAACTTTTAAGAAAAGGTGGTTTAACTTACAAATTGTTTTATTTCTACTTGTTTAGGAAAATGGAAGGTATGGGCGCCGTAAACAATACCCAATCTCCTTGGTGTTAGCACCAACCCGAGAGTTAGCGGTACAGATCTATGAAGAAGCCAGGAAAGTAAGTATGCCTTCCAGTGTTTACTAGCTTTTTTATTGATTCTAATGATGTTTTATGATCATGTTATAATCTAGACCTTGAAGTTGATAAAATTCCTTTGCTTTACAGTTTTCATACCGATCTAGAGTTCGTCCTTGCGTGGTTTATGGTGGTGCTGATATTGGTCAGCAGATTCGAGACTTAGAACGTGGATGCCACTTGTTAGTAGCCACTCCAGGACGTCTCGTGGATATGATGGAAAGAGGAAAAATAGGATTAGACTTCTGCAAGTATGTTAATTTTTAATTATAAGGTTACAACATTAATCTTTAAAATGTATTGGCCATTACTGTTGTATTTATCAGCATTGTCTAATGTTGAAAGGTCAGCCGTGTTTCAGTAGGAATGACCAGACCATGGACAGTCAAGTAGTAAGCAAATTGACTGTGATCTTGTGAGAATCTTTGTGTACCAGGTATCAAATCATGTGATCTGAGGAATTTAACTTCCTCAATGAAAATATATCTATAATTGGCTGTAGATACAGCCATACTGAAAATGTCTTTGATTTCTGAAGTTCTCAACTGAAGTTTTGTTTTTTTATCCCTTCATGACAGATACTTGGTGTTAGATGAAGCTGATAGAATGTTGGATATGGGGTTTGAACCTCAGATACGTAGAATAGTTGAACAAGATACTATGCCTCCAAAAGGTGTCCGCCACACAATGATGTTTAGTGCTACTTTTCCTAAGGAAATACAGGTACTATTTGATTTTGCACATTCTACTTATTTAGAAATTTGTTGATCTCAGTAGATAAAAAGGTTTTCTGTTCTTTCAGATGCTGGCCCGTGATTTCTTGGATGAATATATCTTTTTAGCTGTAGGAAGAGTTGGCTCTACCTCTGAAAACATTACACAGAAAGTAGTTTGGGTGGAAGAATCAGACAAACGGTCATTTCTGCTTGACCTTCTCAATGCAACAGGTAAGATTATGTATGACTAATTTTAGCATCACTCTGGTGGTTTAGGTACTGAGAATCCATTTGGGTCACCTTTTATTAACTTCTCCAGCTTCAAAACAGTGCTTTAATTGCCTCTATGTGTGTGTTTATTGCTTCTATTTGTGTGTTTATTGCTAAGTACAAAAATTGGCCACTGTTGATGACAGACACCTTGTAATTTTTCTAATTCAGGCAAAGATTCGCTGACTTTAGTGTTTGTGGAGACCAAAAAGGGTGCAGATTCTCTGGAGGATTTTTTATACCATGAAGGCTATGCCTGTACCAGTATCCATGGAGATCGATCTCAAAGAGATAGGGAAGAAGCCCTTCACCAGTTCCGCTCAGGAAAAAGCCCAATTCTGGTGGCTACAGCAGTACGTATCATATACTGTATTATTTTCATTCAGGGCTCTGCATGTTGAAATACTTGTTTGCTTTTAAGTTGGCGGTATGTGATAAAAGTTATTTTTTTCCAGGTAGCAGCAAGAGGACTGGACATTTCAAATGTGAAACATGTTATCAATTTTGACTTGCCAAGTGACATTGAAGAATATGTACATCGCATTGGCCGTACAGGGCGTGTAGGAAACCTTGGTAAGTGGTTTCTTGATGGTCTGATTATTCCTGTTTTTTCATTGTGATGCGTGCAACAAAGAACTTTAACAGAACCTTCAATATCAGAACTATTTGCAAAGAAGGCAATTAAAATGTATATTGACATTAAGAGTGACAAAACTCAGCTTTTGTTCAAAGCACAGTGAGTTGGTTAAATAAATTCTACTTAATGATCTACAGGGAAATCTACTTTATGGAAGACTTTTGGTGACTTTTTTTTTTTTCTTTTTGGAACTCTTTTAGGCCTTGCCACCTCATTCTTTAATGATAGGAACATAAATATTACTAAGGATTTATTGGATCTTCTTGTTGAAGCTAAACAAGATGTGCCGTCCTGGTTAGAAAACATGGCTTATGAGCACCACTACAAGGGTAGCAGTCGTGGACGTTCTAAGAGGTGAGGTACAGATGGTACATAATAAAGCAGATGGCCCACTTCTCAGTTCTGTCTGCTCTCCGGAGTTACCATTGCAGTATTTAGTTTGAAAAGCTTGGTTTTCTTAGGCCGCCTGTATTCTTTGAGTGAGAGGTGTATGACGGGAAAGGGTCGGTGTTAGCCATTCACTGGTCAGGCCTTTGAAACCACTGTTAGGGAAAGTCTGGCTGGGTGGCGGGTTGTTGGAGTGGAAAAATCAGAAATGAATCGTTGGGAGGTTTCAACAGGAATTGGGTTATTTCAGTGGAATTTCATCTTCACGTGAACCAACATACGTTGTTTTTGTTGCAGTAGTAGATTTAGTGGAGGGTTTGGTGCCCGAGACTATCGCCCGAGCAGCGGTGCCAGCAGGTTCCGC